GGTTTCTATGGCGGAAACATATTAGCCTAAAAATACAGCACTTCCACCTGCTTTCAACATTAATTCAGGCCCTGCTTTGGATAAGAATCAGAAGATACTAAGAGGCCTCTTTGTTCTGTTCTTCACATAATTACCAACAGCAATGATTAACACTTCCTTCCAGAGAAAATGTCCATGTTTCTCTCTGGAGGTCTTTCACCTAGTAGCACACCTTGGAGAAATCAAGACCGGCTTAAGACAAGGAACTCCAGGCAGAACTCAGATGCAAAATGTCAGTATTTAGGAGGCGGTAGAAGAAGATACAGACTACCAAGGAGGCATCTAGAAATCATCACATATACAAGGTGTGATGTTAGAAAAGACAAACCTCACCTACAACTAGTAGCTGTAAGGGACACAAAGTCCAGCAAGAAGAGCTTCTATCACTACACTGGCAGTGGAAGCAATCTCTGGACAAATCAGAGAGCAGGAGATGTCATTTACCCCAGCTTCAGCATAGCTTTCCACACTGCCTCCCTCAATATTCTCATAACCAAGTGCAGACCTTACAGTCTAGACAGGCAGGCAGCTAAATGGGTTAAAAAAAAACAGCAAACAGAAGCACAATGGTGAAGCTCAGAGGGCAGGGGATAATGGGTCCCTCTCCCTATGGGTGAGTCCTTCACTGACCCGGTGACATCAGCCATGGGATATCTATTGCTGTGGACACATGCCTACCACTCATACTCAAAAACATTCCTGTTGTTTTATAAATATGCCATGAAGCCTGGCAAGGAGAGGATTAGAAACATTCATCTGGAATTTATCACCTCATTAAAAGCCCCAGTATGATGGCAGCTAACCACTGAAGGACAAATAAAATGAAACAGCTTATGGAACTATCAATCATACCAGGAAATATACTTCACCCTGCAGTGAGGGGGACATTCACAATCATTCCAATCAAACCACTACTCATCAGCAAAACATAAGGCAGCCGTCCCGCTCCTATTCATGCCCAATTTAGAAGTGGAAAAACAACTGGAGTATCGTAAGTGCTGCTGGCATCTGCCTACAGGGGAAGGTGGTTTTGCAATCTAATGCATTCTCTATTGTTACTATTCACATTATTGCCAAGGAAGAAAAGTACCTTGACTGTTTCTTCTGCCAACCATCAGCACATCTAAGATAAGTCTGAGCTGGCTTACTCAAGTGAGCGTGGGATGAGGATCCTTTTAGAGCATCAGTCAAGTCTCTTGAGACAGCTTTAAATTCTGATTCACTTTCCATGCATCCACACAAGGAGGCGTATGATCTAATTCTTTAAGCAAAGTCAGGAACAACTTGGCTCCCTGCTTTTCCAAAGGATAGGAATTAGACTCCAATGATTAATTCCTTTCTTTGCTTTATATTTGCTTACTTATTTTTCTAGATCACATTAAAAAAAATTGTAATGAAGTAGGAGAAAACTACCTAAATGACAACAGTGTCTGGTGACTCAGGAGACAAGGACACGGAGAAATGGTTGGATGAGTTAGGGAAGTAAGAGCAGTCTTGGAAGTTGTCTGTGCTAATGACAGAAGACCAACATTTGTCTCTCAAATTCTTGGTAAGCTTTCCATGTTCACTTCTGGTCTGAAATAAGCTGTATCTTACACAGGAGAGGGAAAAGATTTTGGAAAATTATCAATTCCTCAGTCTAGCCTTAAGAAATGGAATTACATTTGGAAGAAACATCCTTGAATTAAACTAAAGCTGATGATGATATATGAAGGATACAATAATTATGTCCATTGGAAAAAGTACTTTAAAAAAATACTAATACAAATAAATAATTGGACAGAAAGATGTATCGTTAGTTCTGGATCAGTGATCTCCAACCTTTGCCCTAGATGTTAAGACAGAAAGCATAACAGACAAATTTTAAGAAAGTTTTGAAAAGTATCTCTGATTTTTCTTTTTAAAATTATTATACTGGAATGCAGACTGAATAAAATAATAATAAAAAAACCTAAAAAAAAACCCTAAAAAAAACTTATGCTCCAAAAGAGGAGCTGTCATATAATTGCAAGTTTTACCTGCCCAAATCTAGCTGAATTTCCAGAACACTTCTTTTGGCACATGGTTCTCTGGCTTAGCAGACACATTCTTATCTGTCTCTGGATGGCTGAAGGAAAGATTTTCTTTACAGGAAAGATTAACTCAGCTATCTTGCCTTTAAACTTCCAATAAAAGCAAACCACCACTTTATATGACAGTCCACCAGATTTCTAATACTGTGGGTAATTTAAACAGAGGCAGTCACTTTCTTGGAGGATGTGCCTACCCAGAAGTGATAAGGCATGCAAATGGGCCAGTTCAGGGATACCTTGGTCCCAGCATGCCACACTGCATTTGTGAATAGACACAGCATTTGGCATTTCTGAGCTGACATGCCAACCTTTTCATTATAATACCAACTGTCTCCATGAGAGATGTGACATAGTGCCAGCATGGGACTGAAATCACAAGGAAATCATTAAAAGGATTGCCTTGCTGCATTTCGTAAGTCTCCAAAGATAGTCTCAAGACCAAAGGAGAGACAACGTGTAATAAAAGGGTAGAAAAAAGTTTGTTCAGAAAACCAATGATAGAAACAAATGGAATCTATTGCAAACTCCTTTAAATATAAATCTAAATATATCTGCTTCGTATGGACTGTTGCTGCAGAAATTGTAGGATAAAATAAAACCTGTTTCACTACAGTACATCCCAGATCTAGATTTGTACAGAGGAGGCACTCTCAGGACAAAGTTATATATTATGCCTTTAGATGATTTAACATGTAACCATATGCTGATGGAGACGATGCTATTCATGCCTCCTCCCCCACAATATGCAGAATACTCCCTTCCTCCCATTTCACCAGTGTTTGCCAAAAACTGTACCAAGCTGATTCAACACTGACTTGAATGTGCTAAAATGAACAACTTTCTGTGGGATTAGCAAATTGAATTAACTCAGTAAAGGGTCAAACAAGTGCTGAAGCAATGGGACTTCACCCTAAGATATTGAGATTGGAGTTGTGCCTCTCCTCCACCACACAGGTGTGAAAAACAGTGCAGGTAGGAAGCAGCTGGGGACCCTTGACAACAGAAACTGAAACTGCAGAACTAACAAAGTAGAACAGCCCAGGCACCGCAGACCTGTACGACCTGTATTGCTTTGGCGCATCCCCCCCTTTAAACCTACTGAGCTCCTGTGCACTCAAATACCCTCTCCCCACTCCTTTCCCTATTCCTTCACTTGTCCCACATACTGTCTATCCTCTGAGCTTTACCATCCCCAAATCCTTTTCGCCTTTCCCTAGTGTTTCTTCTTGACTACTTACAATCACAACAAAAACATTAGCATTAATGTGACACCCATCACCACTGGCACAATTGCTGAGCGCACACATCCTGCCCATTCCCCCCTTCCTTCTTCCATTTACTTGCACTGTTCAGGAGTGGCAACCACAACACTTTCATGCAATGACTTGAGTAATGCCATGCTGCAGTAACTACCACAAAACACATGATGACTAGTGACAGTCTTCTGATTGACCTGACACTGTCAATACGCAACAGATTTTTTTTGTAACTCTTGCTTTTGCAGGACTCTGTATGTACACAAAGGGTCTGAACCAATCTCCAAGTAGCCATCCCTTTATATTGCTTAGAGAGACAAACACTATCTGTGAAAGCATGTGGGCAGAAACGTAAGCAAAACACCAAGGTGATGATGAATAACATTGAATGTCAATGTACAGTTGGATTATCATAATTTTATAACATCCCAGCTTCTTTCCCACACTGCAGAAAAGCAAAATAAAATGTAGGTGGAACTGAAGTCCTGTTGTTATTAGCATGCAGAGAAAATGAACTTATTTAAATTCCCCCATATGTTCTGGCCAACCATCTATGAGTAATTCTCAACATTTCAGTCACCTGAAAAAAAGGCAGTGAGTTCTAGGCACAAACACTTCCTAAGTAGTTAATACCCAGGATCACAGACGATCAAATCATGGTGTTTCATTCTTTCTGTGGGCTTTGTTTCACAACTGGCTTCCTGGCTGCTTTTTGTTTCTAGCATTTCTCTCCTGCTTCTGGCAGATGAAGTGGAGGTGGAAAAGAAAAGGGAGGGAAGTTCTTGGGTAGCATAAGGATTACAGTAACTTCCAATCCTTCAGAAAGAAAGAGCTTGCTCAGGGAACAGATAACCTAATGCTCTTCCACCTCACTTCATTTTTGTTTTAAAAAACTTACGTTTAGAGTTGTTTGCAATTATGAAGTTATACAACCCAGATACAAAGTTTACTACATTTATCTCCTTTCTGTCCCCAAATCCACATGAAATGTACCTCTCATCCACATACTTCCTCCACTTTGTCATTGCTGTGGGCAGTACGAAACAGAAAACTGCAATTAAAGAGATCCTCAGTCATACACCTACAGGTCATTGACATTTGGTTCATACCCAAGCCTGATATGAATGTAGATGCCACTCATCAAAAGGACAGTTAATGCCATGGGTAACAAATCATCTCAACTCTCTAAATTAAACAACAGTATTAGCACAGGGACAAAGTTACTTTCAAAGCATTCTTGCTATTCTGTCTGATTACCTGTCCTTGTTCAAAACAAAGGGATAACTGTCTTCACAGTGCTCTACTTATGTTTCCTTTCACTGTTCTGAAATAAGAGCTGTTCAAGTACTTGAGTTTTGTTTTCAGTTGGAAAGGTCATCTGGGGTGTGTGGCAAAATGAATCTGTACACTTTTTTTAACAAGGAAAAAGAGAAAGAGATGGGTTACAGGGAAGAGGGAAATGAAAGTTTCCTGCATCTTCATTTTCAAATTTGCAAAAGTCTCAGAGAAGTTATAGAAAAAGTATAATTAGTAAAATTACAATCTTATCTATAGTATAGATAGCAAAATCTAACAATCTAAGAGCGTACAGAATCTAATTCTCTTTTGAAAAAGAAAAGCAATGACTACTTACATATAATATGTAGGATATAATCCTTCAAAATACCAGCAATGCTTTTTGGCCTCTGTACACTACAAAGAAAGAAGAATATGATATTAATATTTACATAGGATGATGTACAGTTATAAACACAAGCTTAGAGTATTTATAAATACTGTGACTCTGAGCAGTTAGGAAAGGTTTGTATTCCCAAAGATTTCCCAATCCAGATACACACAGCAAGAGGGAAGTCAGTTCATGTAAATGGCAATGTGTCCTGCCAGGATCCAGATCCCCCATGCAGCCCCTTGTCTGCAGGGCCCCACCAGCTTCCCACAGTTCCCGAACAAAGTCAGTACATTTGGCACAGGATCCAGCTGCATGTGTTCTCTGGCAGAACTGCTGCCTTAAAAGACCATGGACAACTTAAGAGCCCATGTGTGGTTAAAGCCCCTTACATGACCTCCAAGACATAAGCAATTTGATGATACTACACATATGATTACATAGTAAATTCAACAGTTATAGGGAATTATTTATCTTTCTGGGAGTGTGGGACTTGTGAAGCCAGGCTCAGGAAGGAGCAGAACGGAGAACCACTTATCCCATCTCCTCTTCCTACAGCTTGGAAATGTCTCAACTGTTCATTAAAGTAGTGAGGAAACTGCTTTCTGCAGCTCAGGGGTATTGTTCTCTTTTGCAGATTGCCAGTGCATCCCTGAGAAAGGATTGTGACAGGCATTTTCTCAGCATGTGTGCGCCAGCGACGTGAGAAGCGCTCATCATTACGGGCACTGCCAGAGCGCAGGCGGCAGCTCGGAACAATAGCAGCCCCTAATAAAGAAAACCAGATGTCAAGCTCCAACTCTACACAATGCACAAAATATTTCTGTGTATCCCGCTGACATCACTAGCACAGAATGCCATCCTCACTGCAGACACAACTTCAGCAGCTCTCCTGCAAGCTGTATTACCCATCACACATGGGCAGGGCATTGTGGGATGCCCACTGCAGAGCAGTGAGGAGTATCTGGGGTTTTAACAACAATTCCCTCTGCTGCTCACACCTGACACCTGATGACAGAGAACCCTTGGCACACTGCCAGTGTTTGGATCATTATTCACGTTCACTTGGCAGCTCACCTTTAAATAATAGCTCATTTAAGTTTATTAGCCTTCCCAAATCCCAGAATACTAAATGAATCCAGTTAAGACAAAGATGAAGTGGTTTTAGATTCTTGACTCTCACTCTTCATGAATAAAAAAGGCTGCAAACTCTTTAATGAGTGTCTGATGAGCTAAATCACAGACAGATCAATTACAGCCTGCAAAGACAAACTGCTATGGATTAAATTGTTAAGAGTGGTACAGGGGATTGAGGGAGGAGAAGGAGGAGGAGAAGATGCTTTTGATGCATGTGATCAGGCCTTTCTCCAGTAACACAACAGGCTCACACCAGTCTTCGAGGTGCACAAGCTCTAGCTTATGCTGGAAGGACCAGCCCTCTTTCTCTAAAAAAACAAAGCAAAAACCTTGTTCCCCTCTCAAATTGATGCCATGGTCCAGGCAGTCTATTCAGGAGGACTCCTTAACTTCTGCTGAAGCAAGTGTTGTTCAAAGATCCATCTCTGCATTCACCCTATTCCCTCTTTTTCCCCACCTCCTTCAAATCTTCCAACTTTTTAGCCCTTCCTTCAAAATATTTTCACCAGCTGGCTGTTTCCTCTTACTCTAAAATTAGAAATATGTCAAGTTTCTCTCCATAACAGTATGCAAACCTACATGCATTGAAAAACCCAATAGGCATGCTGCCAAGTCACCGAAAAATATTTTGGCTCTTCACCTTTGAAGGCTGTAGAGCAGCAGACATTGGCTAAAATCCCAGTGCCTGCAGGTCAACCCCCTGGGAAGCCTCATTTCAGAGTACAGCTCGGGGTGTGCACTGCCATTAAATGGCATAAATAATTTTTTTTCCTTCCTGCTTCTCAGCCAGTATGAGTCACCATTTACCTCAATAGCCTTGAAGCCTTTTGTCAGTCTCAAGCATTTTAATTGATGTTTTCCCAGAAATGTTTCTGAGCACGTGGAGCCTGCACACCCTTTGTAAGTGTAAAGCAGACATTTATATTCAGCACTCTCCCCCTACATTTTAATCTGCTTTACAAGTTCTAAAATGAATTGGGAAGATTCCCCCTTCCAACATCTCCCTAACTGTAGAATTTCTGTTCTGCCTCTAAATAGTTCTCTTTTTCAGGCAGCCAATATGCTTATTGCTGTCACAAGAAAGGCTCCAGCCTGGGCAAGTTCTTTCCAGCTTACAGAGCTTAGGTACCTGCACTAAACATCCTTTGGTGCCCAGATTTAGTTTTAAATTGTCCCTAGAAGAACAGGCACCAATCCCAGTTCTGCCTTTCTTTAATATCACAGTGCTATGAATACTGCATGGCAGTTGCTCAGCTCTCCTACATAGGAACCAAGCAAAAAAAGCAAGTGGACCTCAAATGTGAGCAGCAGAGCCAAATCTGATCCACATGACACGTCAGACAGATTTACACGCACAAGGGCAAACCGCCGAGCTCCCTGCTCAGTTAAACTCCCACCCATCTCCATGGCAACTTTACTCCAGTAAAGCCTGACACAAAGCAGGCGGCTACTAACCACCCTCTCTCTACTGCTGGTTAGCAGACTTCGCAGGAACTCGCTGCTGAGAGTCAATCGAGAATGTCACTGCCTCTAAGGATTTGAGTGCCTTTAGCACTCAGGCACCAGAGACACAAACGGGGGTCAGGGTACAGATTAGCTTTTCCCACCCCACATACATCCTCTGAAGAAGGCTACTATAATCTGCCACTTGCCAAGATCCAAATTATTCTTCTGAGTGGTACTGGCCTCAATAGCTAAGCTGGTGGAGAGCCATACAAGAGTAAGAGGAGACATATGCCATCAGCATCAGGCTCTCAGCCTTTGGAGAGCAATCTCCTTGTAGTTGTTTGGGACTATTAAACCCTCAAGAAACCACAGCTGGCAGGGGCTCGCTGCAGCCCACAAACCAGACACAAAGGGAAGATTAGTCATATTGCTGCAGCACAACAGAACCTCACACATCAGGACGGGTGCCACCCCACCAGCTCCCATACGAAGACAGGCTGTATCTCAGATTTACTAACAAGCATTCATTCATGTATTTAAAAAGCCATTTACCTATTCACTAATAGCCAAAACTTTAGTCTTTAAGATTAGGTACAGCCCGCCCTACTGATACTCCCAGCTTTTCTAGGGAAAGGACTTTGCACATTTCTCTTATAAAATTCTCCCTTCTATGCCCTTTAAGAATTTGGCACAGCTATAAAATATAAATATGAGAGTACATTCATTTTAAAAATAAATTATGCAGGTCTAATTGGGTGTGCATATGTAATCTTTAGAGAATTAATGGTATGTGAATTAGCCAGATGCTTGAATATATTCCTTAAGCTTGCAAAGAAAAGAAGAGGAAGAGAAAAAACACAAGACTTGGTGTTTTGTTTTTCTTATTTTAAATAAATCAGCATCTGTCTTGTAGCCTGTTTTCTCTGCAAAACAGTAGCAATGTGAATTGCAAGCTGTCCTTTTTTGCGGCCTCTAAATTACTTCAGATTTCCTTTAAAAAAGGAAACCTGCTTCCTGCCACAGATTGATATTGCAAATGTTACAGCTGCTAGTAAGAGCAATGAGAAATAGGAGTTACCGAAACATTAGCCAAAGGCTGGTTTTGATCACACCATAAAACACAGAACACAAAATGCTCATGTACACACATGGTGTGGGGGATGCTAGAGCAGGCAGCCTGCTCACTGAATGTCGGGTGGTACTCCACAGACAGGCTTTGCAGGATCTGCAGAAATACTGTCTCTAGCAGGAGTATCCTCCACACTGCACACCATTATCTCTCAGTCCACAGGACAACAAAAAGAAAATAGATCTGATCAATTAATTACCCTTTGTAATCAGGGGATTCACAGCCAGTACCTTCAATGGAGGTTTGGAAATTAATAACAAAAAAGTAAAAGCAAATAAAGCCCCATATGCATATTTTAGTACAAGCACAGTGTTTTTGTTATGGGTACCAATGAAAAAAGCAGCCTGCTGTGGACAGCCATGCCTGTGGAGGGCAGATAGAGGGCAATTTCTATCTGTATGCTGAAGGGACATCCAGAGTGAGTTTGTGACATCTGCTCAAAGACAGATTCTGTAGGCGGCATGGGGCTGCTATCAGTCACAAGGCCAATGAAAACCTATCAGTTACCAGCAACAGAGGGCAAGCCTTTCTTTTCCATTATGTATTATAGTTATAAGGATCCAAGGTAGATTCAGGTATTTATCAGTGACCTGCCATACTGATATGATGGAAATGGCTCCTGGTACTCTGGGATGACCTGCTTAGTGGCTGTAACCTCCCACTTAGCTAGGTATATGCTACACATTAGTAGGGTTCAAGATGATCCACATGCCAGTCTTGTGGCTACCGCCTCTGAAGCTCTGCTCAGATTAGTACACAGATGAACAGAAAGAAAGAGCTAGAAGTATCTTTGACATCTTAAACATCTTATTGTTTCTGAGCATCACACAATCTTATTCCAACACAGAGCCAGAACTCTGTCTTCCATACTCCTGGTTCAAACTAGTAACAGAAAACAGGAAGGACAACATGTTTGTCACCATGTGGCTCCACAGCATCTGAGAAACAACTGTCTATACCTGCTGCCTGTTACAGAAGACCACTTGCAAAACTCAGATCTTTCCTGGTTTTGTTGGTCACTGCACCTGGCAAATACTTGATGAAACCCAGACAAAATGAAGATAAAAGTCTATGGTGCAACTCCAGACTAAATAAGCAGTTCCAGAAGGCACATTATTGGCTACGAATCACAATGTTTTATGGGATCTGACCTTTAAAACTTCATCAGTTTTCAGAACACTATCCCTTTCAGTGCCTAGACAAGAGCTGGAAGCATTATGAGATACAAGCTGGGCTGTATCAGAAGGACTTCTGTGTGCTGAAAGTCTGAAAGACTATTTGCAGACACAAGAATATGAGGCATCCTGTTCTCCC